GTTTTAAAAATAATTAACTTGAAAAAAATTATTAAATCAAAAAACTCTCTTACAAATTGATAGTTTATATTTTTTTTTTTTGAATTTGTTGTATATATAATAAAAATTTTTAATAGTACTATAATAGTTTAAACTTTGTTATTTTATATATTGTAATATAGTTATTAGCTAGATGAAGTACAACACAATGATTACATGATATTGATAAACTAATAAGCTTCTTATTTATTTATTTTTATTTATTGCATAAATTATTACTTTATTATCATTATTTACAATTAAATATCAAATAGGTTTGTAACAAGAAGAATTTGTAATAAGTTTTACAAATAGTCTAGAAAATAGATTGTTAGTATATTAATTCTCTTAGAAATATAAAAATAAATGTAAAAAGACTTTGTAAAAAAGGCATCATCCACTATGCCAAAGTCTTAACGATTTAATAAAAAAGCCTCTTCGTCTTGAATTTTCTTCAAATAAACCTATCCACTTGGCCATTCGTCTTACAATATAAATCAAAAATTTGGCGCTGATCTACATGCATAAACATGCATAAGCCAATAAAAATTAATAATTTTAGTGCCTTATAATAAAATGAAAAGTGGATATCTTATACTGTCCCCACTGTAGTACGTGATAACTGACCAATCTAAATTGAATATACCTATCATGTGGCATAATGACATGCCAGAACCCCTGTAGATCATCCACAAAAAATTTTCTAGCATGTGACTAAGCCACTTCACTAATTTCTGCTAACGTTGAGGTTAAGGTGAACGTTCACGTCAACGTTGAGGTGAATATTGACATGAACATTAAGGTGAACATTTATGTCAACATTGAGATGAACGTTGACATTAATGTTAAGGTAAATGTTCACGTTAACGTTCACGTCAATGTTGAAGTCAACGTTGAGGTGAACGTTAAGGTGGACGGTGGCATTAATTTTTAGGTGGACGTTTATTACAACATTCACGTCAATGTTCACCTCAACATTGACCTTAACGGTAACGTGAACATTAACGTGAACGTTCACCTTAACGTTAATGTCAACGTTCACCTCAACGTTCACTTTAACGTTGACGTGAACATTCACCTTAACGTTTATGTCAACGTTAACTTTAACATTCACCTCAATGTTGACGTACCTTAACGTTTATATCAACGTTCACCTCAATGTTGACGTAAACGTTCACCTTAACGTTCATGTCAATGTTCACCTCAACATTGACCTCAATGTTGACGTGAATGTTCACCTTAACGTTCATATCAACGTTCACCTCAACGTTGACCTTAACGTTCACGTCAACGTTCACCTCAACGTTTACCTCATCAAGAAAATACTATACACTTTATGTTTATTTAACTTTTTTTAATAATTTTATTATTATAATTACAATTACATACAAAATTATCTAATTTACAAAAGGACGACAAAAAAAAACGAAAAAATAATGAAAGAATGACAAAAAAAAAACCGAAAAAAAAAAAAAAAAAAGATAAAAAAAAAGAAAAAGAAAGAAAAAAGAAAAAAAAAAAAAAAATAGA